TCCTGAAGTAGGAGGGCGCTCGAAGCAGATTCTGGATCCGGGAACCCAGAAATACCTACTGTCAACGGCCAGCGTGTACGCGCAAACGTCGGCGCAATCGACCCCGTTCTTTTCCGTCGCTCAAGTGCCCATGGCCCAAGGTGTCCCCAGTTTTTTGGCTCCGCTTTGGAGTCCCTGGGGCCCTCTGGGCCTCGCGAAGGGTGCTCTGGAGTCCCCATGGGGGCTTCCTTGGGGATCATTCGAGCAGGGGATTGACTACAGAGTTGATTTGACCCCACATGCATTTTTGTCAAACCGACGACAAATACATGGAATGTTCGTATAGAACTACGGATCATTCTAAGTTTGCTGTCGTGGAGTCGACGGAACTCTTAATTTGGGGGTAAATCAATTCTGTAGTCCATCCCCTACTCGAATCCTGGGGGGCACTTTGGGCCAGTGACACTCCTGGCAACACCCGACCACCGCTCCCTCAGGCGCTCCGTTCCCCCAGCCTGGCTTGGGTCGACGAGGGCTGCCGCTGTCGCCCAATGCTGGTGCTCCAGCTCCCCGCTTCGCGAAAGGACCCCGGTGGACAAACTTTCCCAGTAAGCGGCCTCCGTGGGCCCTTGTCGAGCCCTGGGGCAGCCGCAAACGCCTCAGGATGCAGCGCCGGTCCCGTGGAGCGCATCGCGCCCTCGCGCCCCGCGATCATCTTCGTGCCTTCGCACCACCCAACCTTGGAGAATTTGCAGTGGGCACGAAGTAATGGGGGCAATCTATGGGGGAAAAGACAGGTGACCTTTTCGGGCCGCAGGCGCTTTTTTTCGGGCCCTAGAGGCCCCCTCTGGGGCCCCTCGAGGCTCGAGGGGGCCCTTTTTGCGCAGCCCTCGCTGCCCCACCCTTGAGTGCCCCTCCATAAATTCGCACTGGTCTGGGCTGGAACGCGCGAAGCGCAATCACCTCCGCGCCGCCACGGGAGATTTGGGGCTGAGCGTTAGGTCCATCCTCCTACAAGTAGACTTTGGGGGGCGAACATTTAAATATAGGTAAAACATTCCCAAATCGTTTAAAATAATTTGAACATCGTCCCCAGACTATTGTTGGGGACAATTTTTGAACATTCCTCCTGCAGGGGGACATGCCCGAGGAGGGGGTCTGGGCTCCCCGCTGGGCCCCGCCTCTTCGGGCCGGGGTCTTCGCCCGGAGCTGTGCGCACGCTGCGCCCGGAGGGCGGCTGAGGTGCGACGGCTGGCGGAGCACTCCCTGCGCCGCGGAGCGGCGCACTCCTCTCTGGCGCTTCCGGGAGCGTGCCCCGCCTCCTCCTCCTCCTCCTCCTCCTCTCTCATCATCATCATCATCCTCCTTCCTCCTCCTCCTCCTCTCCTCCTCCTCCACCTCTTCCTCCTCCTCCTCCTCCTCCTCCTCCTCCTCCTCCTCCTCCTCCTCCTCCTCCTCCTCCTCAGTCCTCCTCCTCCTCCTCCTCCTCCTCGCCCTCCTCCTCCTCCTCCTCCTCCTCGGGAGCGTGCCCCACCTCCTTCTCCTCCTCGCCCTCCTCCTCCTCCTCTTCTGCTGCTGTATCTACGATCCGACGCCAGTGTTGCGCACAGTAGAGTTGCATTTCGATGGACATCCTTGATCTTAGCTCTTGCACGAAATTGTATCTTAAACTCGCGTGCGTTTGGAAATTGCTCAGGTGCTGGTGCTGCTGCTGGTGCTGAAGCTGATGCTGCTTCCGACGCTCGTGCCGTTGATGCTGTTGCTGCTGTTGCTTGTGCTGCTGCTTGTGGTGCTCCTGCTGGTGGTGGTGCTGCTGCTGGGGCAATACTGAGGATAGGTGGAGAATGCGGAGGAGGATAAACAAATCGCTGTCGCTTTGCCGATCTCGCAAGCGTCTTCGCTCAAATCTTGGGACTGGTGACGTCGCTTCGGCGTTGCTTGAGCTCTTAAATCATCAACTGCGCGCATGCTTGCGCCATTCAGCAGACTCACATGCCAATGCCATCTTGGCGCCATCTGGAGCTCTCTTGGGTTCTCTCGGGGCATGTTCGAGGTCCTCTTGGGGCGCTGGGAGCATGCAGTTGCACAGCCGCCTTGGGAGCACGAGATTTCGCAACCGCATGGGAGCGTGTTGGAAGGGGCGCAGAAATTGCACGTAGACACCGCAGTGCGCACAGGCATTGTTGTTTTCATAACTGGGGGTCCGTACCTTGGGCCAGAAAAACAAGGATCACACATAGCTTCCCCGACTGAAGTTTCAGATGGAAATTCGTGCAATATACGCCGTGACGTTCCCTGTGGTAAACGTCTGTGGCGTCTTACTACGGCGGCTTGATTGGCAACACCAGTGAGTTGGGAGATCTCTTGTAGCGAAGGGTGTCGGTGGTGCTGTAGCTGATGGTATCGTTGGTATTGTCGTTGTAGTTTGTGTTTCTGGTACCGCTGCTGCTGGTGTTGATGTTGGTGCTACTGCTCGTGCTGCTGGTGCTGGTGATGCCTGAGACCATTTTGGGTGAGGGAGCGCGATCCACCGCGGCTGTGCTGAAACAAATCCCTGAGGGGGGGTCCGAAACCGGGGGGACCGCGCCGCCCCCCAATTCCCCCCTTGCACAATCCCCCCCCCTCCCCCCCCTAAAGAACCCGGAGATCCGAACCCCCCCCGTCCCCGGCCCCCCCGGGGGGGTTCGAACACCCCCCTCCCCCTCCCCGGGCCTCCCTGGGGGGTTTGGATCCCAAGCCCTCCCCCCCCCTCCCCCCCTACTCTCCGCCGGCAAACAACTACGACGACGGCAACGACGACGACGACGCAGTCCTGCGCCGGCGGGAGGGCTGGAACCCCCACGGGCCCCCCCGGGGGGGGGTCGACCACCCCTCCCTTCCTACTACTACACGCCTGTGGCAGCCGCCGGCGACGACGACGACGACAACTATACTATCGACGACGACGACGACGACAAGACGACACAACGACGACGACGACGACGAAGACGACGACGAAGATGACGTCGACGACGACGACGACGACGACGGGCGGACCCTATCGGACGGGTCGTGCGGGCGGACCCTAGCGGGCGGGTGGCGGCAGGGCGGGACACTCAAGTCTGATGCGTATACAACATGACACATGAACACCCTAACGGGCGGGTCGGGTCGGGCGGACCCTCATCGGGCGGGTCGGGTCGGGCGGGCGGGACACTGAAGTCTGATGCGTATACAGCATGACACATGAGAACCCTAACGGGCGGGTCGGGACGGGCAGACCCTACTGGGCGGGCCAGGGGGCGGACCCTAACGAGCGGGTCGGGTCGGGCGGGCGGGACACTGAAGTCTGATGCGTATACAGCATGACACATGAGAACCCCAACGGGCGGGTCGGGACAGGCGGACCCTATCGGGCTGGGCGGGGCGGGCGGACCCTCTCGGGCGGGTCGGGCGGGCGGGTCGGGTCGGGCGGGCGGGAACCTAAAATCAGACGCGTATAAAGCATGACACATGGACAACCGAACGGGCGGGTCGGGACGGGCGGACCCTATCGAGCGGGTCGGGTCGGGCGGACCCTATCAGGCGGGTCGGGTCGGGCGGGCGGGACACTGAAGTCTGATACGTATACAACATGACACATGAGAACCCTAACGGCCGGGTCGGGACGGGCGGACCCTATCGGGCGGGTAGGGCGGACCCTATCGGGCGGGTCGCGTCGGGCGGGCGGGACACTAAAGTCTGATGCGTATACAGTCTGCCTCCTCTCTCCTCCTCCTCCTCCTCTTCCTCCTCCTTCTCCTCCTTCGCCATCTCCTCCTCCTCCTGCTCGTCCTCCTCCTCCTCCTCCTCCTCCTCCTCCTCCTCCTCCTCCTCATCCATCCTCCTCCCTCTCCTTTTCTTTCTTCTCCTCCTCCTCCTCCTCCTCCTCCTCCTCCTCCTCCTCCTCCTCCCCCTCCTCCTTCTCCTTCTCCTCCCCCTCCTCTTCGCGTTGTCTCGCCCACTGCCGTTCCCACCCCTGAACCACCGCCTCCTCCCGCTGCTGTTCCTCTTCCTCCCCCGCTCCTCTCCCTCGTGCTTCTTCTCCAACGCGGATTCGTCGTCGTCGTCGTTTGCCGGCGGCGACTAGGGGGAGGGAGGGGGATTCCGAACCCCCCGAGAGGGTCTGGAAAGGGGGTGGGGGTAGTGTTCGACCCCCCCCCCCCGGCGCAAGAATGTGTCGTCGTCGTCGTCGCCGTTGTCGTCGTCGGCGGCTGCCGGCGGCTAGGTGGGAGGGGGGGTTCGAACCCCTCCGGGAGGGCCCGGGGAGGGGGGGGGTTGCACCCTCCCTGGTTTTTTTGGGGGGGTCCCCCCGGTTCCCGACCACCCCCCCAACCCCCGAGGGGGGGGGAAACCCTTTCCCCCCCATGCCAGTGGCGCCAGAAAGCGCTCTTTCGGGTAAGAGGAGGAGGAGGAGGAGGAGGAGGAGGAGGAGGAGGAGGAGGAGGAGGAGGAGGAGGAGGAGGAGGAGGAGGAGGAAGAGGAAGAGGAGGAGGAGGAAAACACGTGAGGAGGACGGGAAGGAGGAGGAGGAGGAGGAGGAGGAGGAGGAGGAGGAGCAGGAAGAACGCGGCGCAAGGAGGATGAAGAGGAGCAGGGAGGCGGCAGGAAAGAAGCAAGGAAAGAACGGACGATGACAAGGAGGACGAGAAGTCGGGCTTTGGGAATATGTCGTGGCGATGGCTTCTTCGAAGACTCGTAATGCCATTCGGGCGCCATCTTGGGGTCCTCTTGG